GCTACTCCATCTATCTAAATTTCCTTCTGATTCATCTTCAACTTGATATTCTCTCTTGCTGTAGCACCAAAATTCCTCGACTCAGGATTACCACACGAGGCCCAAGCATAAAACCACACTGTCTAAGACTCATAAGCCGCTGAATGCTCTCTTAAATATTCCCAAAAGCACCACATTCGAAATACTTTGCTCTGAAGAACTTCCTACGAATTTAAATTCGTTACCTCCTGATACTGATACATAGAATCCCACAATTAATATAGAAAACACCACAAGTCTTGACATCTTCCAATGAAAACTCAGTCTCTAACCACATATACAACTTTAACTTACCCTATTGTTACATGTAGAATCTTGAACACATTAGAAACACTCCCACGAGTTATTCACTCTACTCAAACTGCAATTAGTCTGATCAAACGAACCGATCAACCTGTGCTTCATTAGCATTCTGACACCGCCGAATGTGACATCATTCCATTACAACCAAGCAACTTCCTGCTCTATGCACCGAGCATCCATTACCAATAACAACTCAAGATATTCTGTGATTCTCACACACTTATGAAGCATACTATATACCTTGTTAAGAATTTTTTCTTTACTCGAGCCATCCTCGGTCTCAATCTCCGTAGGCCATAACTTATTCGCCCGAACGCCTCGAACTGGGACCAACATAGCACATAAATGTGCAATCAACTAATCAATAACAGACTCCCCCACTTGGCCCGAAGCCATAGATCAAAACACTCTCAATAACTCATAACGCATATACTTTATTGTTGTCATAATACCATAGTGAGATTAACTCAATCCTTCATAAGCTCGTGGAAAACAGACCATTTGGTACTTCATATCTTCTACAAATCTTGCATTTACTCTCGTAACAATTAAACTCACTCTCTTAAGCGACCCAAATTAAATTCACACATATGTTTCGCTTGTAAATGGGATCTTCTAACAGACAACATAAAGATCACACAACCCCAGAACACTTCGCATGAGATAACCCACCCGCTTCGCCTTAAACTAACTTTTATGTATACCTTCCACCGTCATAACCATTACGTAGTCACTTAGTCTTCCTGAGTCCGAACTCATACCGCAACATGAAATCTACTCCACTCCCAACTAGGAGACATGAAAAGATTCTTCACACGCCCATAACTCGGGCTATAACTCGAATCAAGACGGATCAAGCACCTAATAGTTCTTCTATCCTCCGGCAGACCTTTCTCGTCACTTCCAAATCATACGAATACATCTTGCAGCACTAACATTCTCATTACATAGCCATCCAGTCGTCACTTCCACTAATAGGAAAAATACCGAACATATAAATTCAAAAGCACTTGCTCATACAATCAGCACCTTGGTGCTCAAGCTATAGGCAAAAAAAAATCCGGCCTCAAGTCCTCCAGACTGGCCCAACATCAACACACAGAGATCGTATCTCGCCCCTTGATCGGGGAATTACAAGCCATCGATGCATATCTAATACTGAGCGCTCATGCGTGCATGTGAACGCGTGGAAGGAATTTCAAAAGTTACTTTTCAAGCTGAATCAAGGACGCACAATAAGAATTCAAGAATGTGAAATTTTTCTAAAGGTTTTGCAGCCTCTCGAGGATAAATACAGACGTCTCTGTACCGATCCGCGAGACTCTACTAAACCTGCTCATGACTCGTGAGACCTATGTAACCTAGGCTCTTATACCAACTTGTCACGACCCTGAACCCGGTCGTGATGGCGCCTCTTATGAAGACAAGGCAAGCCAATTAAACCCAATTCACTTATTAAAACAGTTAAACAAATATAAAGGCAGTCTAATCATGAATTAATGATAATGAGTAGCGGATATACAACCCATCATAGCCCTAACCGAGGTGTCACAAGTCACGAGCATCTACTAGGGTATAAATACAACTGAAAGCCTGGAGTGTGTAAATACAGACCAATGAAATGGAGAGACAGAGAGAGAGAGAAGCAGTGCTGCGAACGCCGGCAGCTACCTTGCTAAACTCCGATGACTCTGCCTTCGATCAGCCAAAAACCCGCTACCGGGTGCATAAGTACCTGAATCTGCACACAAAGTGCAGGGAGTAAAGTGAGTACTCCAACTCAGTGAGTAATAATAATAAATAAAGACTGAAGGCAAGAAATCACGTAAAGCATAACGAGATGCTGTATAGAAGCAGTTCAAAACCAGTAAGAAAGCAGTGAAGCTGTAAAATCTCTTTAGAATATTTTGGCTCAGTTTACTTCTTTTGAAAATGGCTTTTCCAATAGTTACACAAATGAATGCCAAAAACAGTTAGTGCAGATGAGCACAGAAATCCGCCTCTCGGGCACAAATACCATAGTTTAACAAGTAAAATGACAAGTAAATATGAAAGGTAAACATATAAAGGTTCGCCCCTCGAGCACAATGTCAACAACTCTGCCTCTCGGGCAATATCTCAAAAGAATAATAGCCCCTCGGGCAATCACATAGAACGGTACCAGCCCGTCGGGCTATCACATAGAACAATATCAGCCCCTCGGGCTATATCTCACATCACAATGGGTATCCACGCTCGCTCACTGGGGGTGTACAGACTCGGGGAGGGGCCCCTTACGGCCCAAGCGCAATATCAAGCCATCTCGTAGCATAAAATCTAGGTCCTCGGCCTCATATCAGTCAAGCCACCTTATGGCGTATAAATGTATCTCAGGACCTCGACCTCATATCACTCAGTGTATCCTAACATCTGGCCCTCGGTCACACTCAGTCAGAAAATCATCACAAGCCCCTCGGGCATTTGTAAAACAGTAGTGCTCAGCCCAAAACATTGTTTAGAAATATCATTTAAGTCTCAAAACTGAGTAAAAGTGGTTGGGTTGTAAAACAGTGGAAAATAACAGGACTGAGTTTAAGTAATAAATCAATACAGTGAAGAAATAGTGATAAAAATCTCTGGAGGGTTTAAATAGTTGGCACGAAGCCCAAATATGGCAATCAACCCAAACCGTGATGATAACAAACAAGTTTCAGTCAAATACGCGGTAAAATCATCAATCAAGACGGACCAAGTCACAATCCCCAATAGTAAACGACCCCATGCTTATCATCAAGCACGTGTCTCACCTCAATATAGCACTATGATGTGCAATCCGAGGTTTCAAACCCTCAAAGCATCATTTACAATCATTACTCACCTCGAACCGGCGAAATCCCTAGCTCGCGACGCCTTTGCCCCTCAAATCGGCCTCCACGCGCGTCGAATCTATCCAAAATCAGAACGAATACATCACAATATGCTAGGGAAATAAAGCCCAAGCGAAAACAATCAATATCGGGCACAAATCCCGAAATTATCAAAACCCGAGCCCGGGACCACTTCTCGAAACTCAGAAATTTTTACATCATTAGATTCCTTATCTCCTCAGGAGTTCATACATATCAAAGGTTCTCAAATCCGACCCCAAATGGTCCTTCAAATCCCAAATCAAAAGTCCAATTTCTCAAGCCCTAGTTCTTCAATTTTAGGCTTAGTTTTCCATGAATTTCTAGGTGGATTTCACAATATAATCGAGTTTTAAGACCAAGATTCTTACCTTAAATCGATTCCTCTTGAATCCCTCTTTAATTTCCTTCAAAAACGAGCAGCCATGGGTGAAAATAGGCCCAAAATCGTGGACAAGGTGACTTAAAAACATTCTGCCCAGGCCTGACTTACCTTCTTCGCAAACGCGGCCAACCACCTGCGAACGCGTAGCACAAAAATTGTGTTGACCAACTTTACCCTACGCGACATGCAGTCGCAAACGCAGTGCTTCCATAGCCTTGACCTTCGCGAATGCGTTTGCTCTATCGCGAATGCGATGACTAACTGACCATCAGATCCAATTCCTCCTACGCGATCACGTATACACCCTCACGAACGCGATGCAGTCCTCTTACAAACCTTCGCGAACGCGGTAGGGATCCTCGCGAACGCGAAGGCCAACATGCCTGCAACTGAAACCTGCAATTTTTGAAGTTCTCAAAACATGAAATTGATCCGTTTAACCTCCCGAAACACACCTGAGGCCCTCGGGACCTCAGCCAAACCTACCAACATAACCCATAACATCATTCGAACTTGTTCCAATCATCAAAACATCTCAAACAACATCAAATTACCCGAAACTCATCGAATTCAAGCCGAAGTTTTTTAAAAACTTCTGAAATACATTTTCGATCAAAAACCCAACCAAACCATGTCCTAATGACCTGAAAATTTGCACACACATCACAAATGACATAACGAAGCTACTGCAACTCTCGGAATTCCATTCCGACTCCCGAATCAAAATCTTACCAACCAACCGGAAATCGCCAAAATCTCAACTTCACCAATTCAAGCCTAGTTCTACTCCGGACCTCCAAAACCAATTCCGATCAGCTTCTAAGTCATAAATCACCCAACGAAGCTAACTAAATCATAAAAATTCCGTTCCGAGCTCATATACAAATAAGTCAACTCTTGGTCAAACCTTTCAAATTTAAAGCTTTCATCTGAGATTGTTCTTTCAAATTCATTTCGATTTTCCTGAAAACCAAACCAACGATCTACCTCAGTCATAATACGTTACACGGGGCAAGTCATGCCCAAGAACTGACATCAAAGTGCAAAAGCTCAAAACGACCGGTCAGGTCGTTACAGATAGTTTGGTTGGTAAGGTTCCTAAGGGCTTGCTGGTCAGTGTAAATTGTGAACCGACGTCCCCGCAAATATTGGCACCATTTGCTTACTGCTTGAATGATGGCAAACATTTCTCTATGATATGTGGAAGCTTGTTGCATCCTAAGGCTAAGTTTCTGGCTGAAGAAAGCCACAGGATGTCCTTTTTGGGATAAAATTGCTCCTATGCCAACTCCTAATGCATCTGTTTCTAGAGTAAATTCCTGGCAAAAATTTGGAAGAGCCAAGATAGGTGTGGAGCTAAGGCACATTTTGGGCTTATCAAAAGCAACCTATTGTTCTGGTGACCATTGAAATGCATCTTTGCGCAACAAATCAGTCAGAGGGGCTGCTACAGATGCATAATGATAAATGAAACGAAGATAGTATCCCGCGAGCCCCAGAAATCCACGTACCTCTTTCATTGAACGGGGTTGCGGACCCAAATAGTCAACAGATTGTTGACCAAACACGCATTTGGATCGCTTGGCCACTAATTTATGATCCTGCAAGACAACGCGAAGATGTTCTAGGTGCTCCGACCAACTGGGGCTATAAACCAGGATGTCGTCAAAGAACACCAAGACAAAGCGACGCAGAAATGGTCGAAAAACATCATTCATAGTGGCTTGAAAGGTTGAGGGGGCATTGGAGAGTCCAAACGACATAACTAAGAATTCATAATGACCGTCATGTGTGCGAAATGCTATTTTCTTCAGGTCCTCAGGTCGGACTCTAATCTGATGATACCCGGATAGGAGGTCCAACTTGGAGAAAAATTGGGCACCATACAACTCATCAAACAGTTCGTCAATAGTTGGAATGAGAAATCTATCACGAACTGTGACTGCATTCAATGCCCGATAATCTACACAAAATCGCCAAGTTTCGTCCTTCTTACGAACTAGAAGGACTGGCGATGAGAATGGACTGGTGCTAGGACGAATAACCCCTTTTCTGAGCATGTCACTTACCAATTGTTCCATAACATGTTTTTGAAAATACGGATAACGGTAAGGTTTGACATTCAGTGGTTCAACTCCCGCTAATAGATGAATGACATGGTCCTGCGGCCTAGTCGGAGGAAGACCTTGTGGATTTTGGAAAACCCCAACAAAGGTATCCAATAAGTCCCCTAAGTCCGGTGGTGGGGCGTCCGTGGCCATAACAGGTTCGGCAACTAATTCCAAGTGGAAAAAGGAAGATATGGCATCGGTGGCCATCATACGCCGGATACTATGCAATTGAACAGGTTGGATATCTGTTGGTAGGTCACCTTGCCAAGTGAACCGATGGTTATTAAGAGTGAATTCAAAAACTCGAGCACCGTAATCAGTGACAACCGGCCCCAAGGTTGCCAACCATGACACGCCGATAACCAAATCTAATCCATGGAGGGGTAATACATAGAAATCCATAGTAAGGTTGCAACCCTGAATGGAGAGGGGAACTTGGCGACAGACACCATCACAACTTAGTCGCTGGCCGCTGCCTACCATCACAGAAACACGAGGAATAGGCTCGATGGGGAGCTGAAGAAATTTAGCAACTCGAGATTGAATAAAGTTATCAATACTCCCACCATCAAAGAGCACTTGCACCGGTGAATCATTAACATGGCCAGTAAAGCAAAGAGTATTGGAGGAAACACCACCCGCTAAAGCATGATATGAAATCGAGGAGTGCTTCTGAACTTCCAAACACTGCAGCTCCTCAGCGAGAAGATCATCGGGAACGAAATTCTCTGGTAAGGCTATTTCATCCTCTGGGCCATCAGTTAAGAGTAACAATTGGGGGTCAGTCTTACAACGATGGTTAGGGGAGTATTTTTCATCACAATGGTAACAAAGGCCCTTCTCGCGTCAACTCTGTATCTCCGCCGTGGTAAGGCGTTTGAAAGGCAACCGAGTAGGTAGAGCCGGAGAAGGAGCTGCAGGCAAGGTGGGTGAAGAAGGATTGGGTAATATGGGCTGAGCGCAGGCAAAAGCGGGTCGAATAGGCCCCTTTTCAGATAAAATCCTTTGTTCATGCATATGGGCCAAAGTTATGGCCTGGTCCAAGGTGGTGGGCTGATGAATGGTAACAGAAGACAAAATATCAAATCTAAGGCCCGATAGAAATACCTCAACCAAATACCACTCCGGCAATGAATTGGTTTCATTCAACAGAGCCTCAAAACGACTCTGAAATTCAGCCACTGTTGAAGTCTGGCGGAGCTTTGATAACCGGCCGACAGGTGACTGGACATGCCATTTACGAAAGCGGCTGCGTAATTTCTCGGTAAAAATGGTCCAATCGCTGAGTTGTTTGTTCCGGTAAAGCCGCCTGTACCATTCCAAAGCTTTGCCGTCAAGATAGAATGAGGCAATATTGAGTTTCTCCTCTTTAATAATACCATAGAAGTCGAAGTAACGATCAGCCTGAAAGATCCATGCCTTCGGCACGTCACCATGAAAATGACCGAACTTCACTGGCACCGGCTTGTGGCGAAGAGGAGAAGAACCCTTTGAAGAAGCAGTAGGGAAACCCATAGGGTCCTGCACACCTTTGGAGCGAGAAACATCAAGTAACAGTAATCCAGCGGTGAGAGTAGCCACCTGAGTGACTAGATCCTGAATCACCAACTGCTGGCTAGCCATGGCAGCACAAATATCAGCATCCGATCAAGACGGTGCGAGTAGACCATTGGAGGCTTTGAGTTTGGAATCAGCCGACATAGTAGTCGAGGAAATGAAAGCACCAATGTAACAGTATTACTTCAGCACCAGCAAATTGTATTGATAAACAAGGAACTAAGTGATTAGAATGAAAGCAACATGAACGACTCAAATTGGAAAATAACAATAACTGGAAACTAGAACAACAGAGAAGAAGGGGATGAGAAATTAGAAGAATATTGAGATGAGAAAATCAGAAGGTTCACACCACATATTGCCTGCTTATTCCTTAGTGGTATTGCCTATTTAACTAACTCTCTTTTCCAGCAAATTCTTAATCACGTGTTCAGCCCTTGCCCACTACGAAATCTGTTAGCTTTGTTGGAATCTTCCTCACGCGTGTGCTTCTACGCGTGGTGTTATTTTGCCACTGCTTGCTGTCATCCCTCGTGGCAACTTGGTCAGCATCCTTATCAGCATTTGACTCCACCTGGTTCACAACAGCTGAATCTATTGCAATATACTGCAGGTCTTTTAGTTAGCTTTCACTGAATTTATATAGAAGTCCCACCTGTTTTCATAAAGTGCTTAACAGTCAGCCTCTGCACTTAGTATTGATTAATTTTATTTAAACCTTTTCTTATCACTAAGAAGAAGTGCCAATGCCCCTTTATTCTTGCTCCACATACCATGTGGGATTTCTGATAAGGAGTTTAAGGACCCATGTACCTGATAGTTGTATTATTCACTATGTCTTTTTTTGTTCTTCTTTCTAAATTAATTCGATGTTTCTTTTTGCTTTTGGGTTTGTTGTCTCCTCGGGAACCCACTAACCAACATGGTTTCTTAGATATTTTCTCTGCACCCATGACAGAGCGCGGACGGATGAGGGTGGGTCAAGTAAAACTTACAGGCTTGTAGCTTTATACGACATAATACAAGTTCACATGATATGCTGCGCTTTTGGACTCGATGATGGCATAGCCTAAGGGACAATTAATCTGTGAGGTCTGTTGGGCCAAAACGGACAATGCCATAGGTTTAGGTCGTGATATTTTCATCCAAGTAAGTTAAGCTATCCATTTTTATATCCTAGTTTAAGACACAAATGTGAGAACGCTGATAAGGTATTGCTTCAGATATTAAAACTAAATGGGTTCAATTTCAAAGTCGGATAATGTCTTCATAACAAGAGTGTATTTCAATGGAGACAATTTTGGACCTCAGCGCTATTCCAAGATCCCAGGTAAACAAGTTTTCTGGACATCTTATTTGGTTGACGACAATAACAACAAACTTAGTGTATTCTCATAAATGGGATCTGTGGAGGGTAGTGTGTACGTAGACATTACCTCTACCATATAGAGATAGAGAGGTTGTTTCCGATAGACCCTTGACTCAAGGAACAATAGAGATAATGCAACAAGTAGCAAACAATAATAACAACAATGTATTGTGGTAACGGGAGCAAAAAACACAACATGTAATAATAAAGAACCATGAATAAGATAATACAGAAATAGTTCTAGTACTACTGGTAAGCCTAGGAGGAACACACTACTATTTGGCAACCTACAATCTTAATCCTAGACCTCCACACCTTTCTATCATGAGTCATATCCTCTGTAAGCTGGAGCAATGTCATGTCCTGCCTAACTACCTCTCCCCAATACTTCTTAAGCCTATCCCTTCCCTTCCTCAGCCCCGCCATGGATAACCTCTCACACCTCCTGATTAGAGCATCTATGTCTCTCCTCTTCACATGCCCGAACCATCTTAACCTTGATTCACGTAACTTGTCCTCCACAGATATCACTCCTACCTTGTCCCTAACAAATTCATTCCTAATCTTGTCCTTCCTAGTATGCCCACACATTCATCTCAACATCCTCATTTAAGCTACTTTTATCTTCTGGATATGGGACTTCTTAACGGGCCAACACTCAACCCATACAACATAGTCGGTCTAACTACCACTCTGTAGAACTTGCCCTTAAGTTCGTGTGGCACATTCTTATCGCACAAAACCCCCGAGGCGAGCCTCCATCTCATCCACCCCGCACCAATACGATGAGTAACATCCTCGTCAATATCCCCGTTGCCTTGAATAATAGATCCATGAAACTCTCTCTTTTGCAGATGACTTGAGTATCAATCTTCACTTCCACTCCTTCTTCACGCATCCCATCACTAAACTTGTACTCCAAATACTCAGTTTTTGACCTACTCAATTTGAAACCCTTAGGCTCCAGCGTCTGTCTCCAAACTTCGAACCTAGCATCAACTCCGTTTCGCGTCTCATCACTCAGAACTATGTCATCAGCGAATAACATACACAATGGCACTTTCCCTTGTAAGTATCGCGTCAGCACCTCTAGCGCTAAGACAAATAAAAATGGGCTAAGAGTCGACTCTTGATGCGAACCCATCTCCATTGAAAAATGATCTGAGTCTCCTCTCGCAGTCCTTACCCGAGTCTTCGCTCTTTCATACATGTCCTTAATCATCCTAATGTACGCTACCAGGATACCGCTAGCCTCCATACATCTCCATAAGACCTCTCTGGGGACTTTATCATCGGCCTTCTCTAGGTCTATGAATACCATATGCAAGTCCTTCTTCCTCTTCTTATACTACTCCACCAATCTTCTCACAAGGTATTCGGCTTATGTAGTAGACTATCCCAGCATAAATTTGAATTGTTTCTCGGAAATAGTCACACTATGTCGCACCCTCCTCTCAACCACCACCTCCTAAATTTTTATAGTATGACTCAGCAGTCCTGGATATCACCTTATTTTTATACAACGGGATCATAAAACTCCACCGCAGATCTTCAGGAATCTTTTTCGTCTTGAAAATGACATTAAACAAACTAGTAAGCCACTCCAAGCCTACCCGACCCACTTCCTTCTAAAATTCTACTGGGATCTTGTCAGACCTAGTTGCCTTATCCTTGCTCATCTTCTGCATTGTCCCCTTAATCTCCTTGCTCCTAATACGCCTACAAAATCTAAAATCCCTCTGACTCCTGAGTTTTCCAACTCACCCAGTACGATGTTCCTGTCTCCTCCCTCGTTCAAGAGTCTATGAAAGTACTCCTGCCATCTACGTCTGATACACGCCTTTTTCATCAGAACCTTACCATCTTCGTCTTTGATGCACCACACTTGGTCCAGGTCCCGAGCCATCCTCTCCCTAATCCTGCCTAACATGTACAACTTCATGTCTCCTCCTTTGCCCCCAAGACCCTCATACAATCGCTGAAAAGTTGCAGTCTTAGTTACTGTGACTGCCAATTTTGCCTCTTTCCTTTCTTTCTTATAACACTCTCTACATGTCTTCTTCCCTTCCTCATCCGTGCTCCCCACTAGCTTCAGATATGCCTCTTTCTTAGCTTCCACGTTTCCTTTGACCTCCTCATTCCACCTCTAATCCCCTTTGTAGCATCCTGAATAACCCTTCGTTACCTCTAACACCTCTCTAGCAGCTTCCTTAATGCAGTTCGCTGTCGTTGTCCACATACTACTCGCGTCCCCACTACTCCTCCAACCCCCCATGGCCACAACTTCTCCCCCAACTCGTGAGCATTTTCCTTAGTCAAGGTATTAATCTTAGGCTGGCCGTACACCGCTCTCTTCTTTCTTACTCTCTTGATCTCCAAGTCCATTACCAAGAACCTATTTTGCGTTGACACACACTTACTCGGGATAACCTTGCAATCAGTGCACCCCTCCTAAGGAAAAGGTAATGAATCTGAATTCAAAAGTTTTAGGCTTGATTAATTTACTGTCACGAAATGGTATATAGTAAGCAAAAGGAGTAGAACTCGAAAAAATACATATTATATATATATATATATATAATCGCAAATTGTAACTGTTTAAAGCTTCAACCATTCACAACTAGCTTTATTTTCTACTGCTAATTTATTACTATTTAAAACTTTGAATTGGATTATACTAATTTACTAATATTATATGAGGCTAAAAATAAAATAAAAAATTAGCTACTGACCTTGCCCTGGTGGACCGAGACCTTGGCTACCACCTCGCCGGTCTACCAGGTCTAATACCTTGGTCGGCCCAGCCCCCCTCCATGATATCCCCAGCCCAATCCCAACCGGTCTATTATGGGTTGTTTCAGGAGATTTTTATCTAGTTATATTATATTAGAAATTTATTTACTTATGTTCTCTATGTTTTGAAGTTTTTAATAAATATTTAAGTTTTTCTTACAAATTATATGCATTGCTTCTTAAAAGAATCTCACCCCATTATTAGGGCCTTCAATTAAGGGATTCAATTATATCTTTTCCACTTTTTTTCCACTCTCCTCTTCTCTCTCCTTTTTTTTACATCAAAATTCGTTAATCTAATCCCAGAATCTCCATCTTCTCTCTTTCCACCATCATCGATAGCTTTATATTATTAAAAAATATTCTAATTTTTTTATGATAATTGTATGATAACTGTATCATAATTATATTTGAATTGCATCAGATACATCAACGCCTAAAACATAAATGTATCATAATTATATTTAACTTGTATCTGGTATATTAATACCCAGAATAATACATGATACAATACTAATAAAGTAATATACAATTATCATACTTGTGATATAAACTGTGAAATTCGTCACGAAGGCACAACTGCTCGTAACAATATACAATGAATATACGACTATCATATATTTGTAATACAATTCTTGCAACAATTATGATACATATACAATTATAATACAATCGCGATACATTTCTAAAAAATTATGAAAGAATTATGATCTTCATCTTCTTCAAGTTTCAATCACAACCATACATTGAAAATTTAATATAATCGTATTATGATTGTATTAATGTTGTATCAAGTATTATTTTGGGTATTGATATATCATATACAAGTCACATATAATAAAGATTTTAGAAAGAAAGAAAACAAGATTCAAAGCTTACCCACAACTTAATTCTAGAGCAATATTTTTGAATTTCATTTGCATTACATCAATACAAATAGATATTTTGGGTGATTAGTAAGAAAGAGAGAAATTGAATTTCAAAAGCTTTGGAAGAGAAAAAANACAATAGGTAAATAAAATTTCTTACTGTGGGTAAGATTAATTTTGGATAATTGTTAAGAAAGAGAGAAGATGTTTTTGTAATCCTTTGGAAAAGGAAAGAATCTTAAATGTATGGGAAATTATTGGAAATGGGGGTTGTGTATCATGTAACTTATAGGCTAGATTTAAAGGATCTTGAATTTCTTCTTTTTATGATTTTGTATATAATTAGTAAATATAGGTATACAAAATAATTGATAAGAAACCTAAATAAAGGTGGTAAATATATTTCTATTATAGTATAGCTAGGTAAAAACCCCTTGTTTCAGTTCTCTCTTTTACTGGATCGGACCGGTCCGGACATGGGCCAGCTCAGTTACAAGAAACAGGATTAATTGTTATCAATATTTTGTACTTGATTAAAAAACTGGTCCCTAAATTCCATATCTGGCCCCTAACATAATGAATTGAGCGCCAGAGAGAAATTACTTTACTCTTTTTTCGGAAAAAGAGAAAACTCTCCGTTATTTTCCTCAAATTCCCGCTCATCTCTCTGAAGGGCGAAGGCAGGTAAAATCCCTAAACCCTAATCTTTCAATCTAATAATTCACTCTTCCGTATTTCTCTCAAATGCTGAATTAAAATGTGTTTCTGGGAATCGAAGGTGTGTGTACTACAAAACATCTTATAATTTTGCTACTCTTCCACTCTCTCAGTAGGCAGGTTCCTACGACGCATCTGATAAATTTTAGTGGGTTAAGAATTTTTAGCTTTACCATTTTCACTGCGAAATGCTCAAAATCGTAAATTTGAGTCCGAAGTGCCGGCCAAATAGTCTGAGTTATTGACTAAAGTTAAGCATGTTACTCTAATCTTCAAGCAATGGACAGGTCCAGTAAATTCCAAAGTGAAATCGCTTGCTAAAGTGATATATGTATTGTATATGTGTCTTGTAGGTGAAACCTAAAACCTTATTTCTTATGACTTTCATGTTCTCTTCCTTGTCTTAGGGTTTGAATTTATTCATGTAAAGTAAAATGTCCTAACGGAAAGCAAAAATCACTAAGAGGGTGTTTGGATTGGCTTATTTTAATTGCTTATTGTCTTTTAAGCACTTTTCTAGTTTTTGTGATGTTTGACAATGATAAAAAGTGATTAAAAACACTTACTTTTTTAGGCATGAAAAGTACAAAAATAAGTCAAAAACCAAAAGTTGGGTATCACTAACGTATGGCTTTTGGCTTTTAGCTTATAAGCTACTTTTGAAAAGCCAATCCAAACGCCCTCTAAGTGATTTCTTCGGCCTAAGCGTTGGTTGGCAAAGTTATGCATTACTTGTGCTCAGGGGCGGAGCCAATGTATAAGTTACGGGTTTCGACAGACCTAGTAACTTTGGTTCAAATCCTGTATTTATCTTAAAAAATCCATTGAATTTGTGTAAATTATTAATTTAGAACCCAGTAACTTAATATAATTAAAATTCCGAAACCCATAAGCTTCGAATTCTGGCTCCGCCTCTGCCTGGTGGAAGATAACAAGTACCGGTTGAATAGTTGAGGTATGCACAAGCTGGTCCAGACACCACTATTATAAAAAAAGAGAAAATGGACAGTTGTTTATTGGATTATTTATTCATGTAAACGGAAATGGACTAATCTATATGGCAGATCTGCTTCACTTAACGTGTCTAACTATATTGAAATATGTGGAAGAAATCTCTTTAACCGGGATATCTTCTAATAGTGACTTTATCAAGCCTGAAATATAGACCAGGAGACGCATTGTGCAATCCTCATAATGAGATGCTCATAAGCTACTCAGTTTAAAATTTATGGAAGGAAAATAATAGTTTACAAGTTACCTAACAAATCAATTTCAAATTTTTACACTTTTGCGTGAACGAATGTTTATGAATGAAGAGTCATTTAGTTTTTTCATTTGTTAAGTCCCTGTTGCTTCTCTATCAATAAAAATACCATCATAACTTGAATGGACTCCAAAAAACTTAAGGGAAGCGTCAGTGTTTTTAGTTTTTACAAATATTTCTCCATCAATCTTTAATCCTTCGAATACGCATAAAGCCCACAAAAAATGGTGAGAAGAAAGAGATTTCGACTTTTTTCCGCTTTCCTTTCTATCTTTTCGAAAGGATGTTCACAGTAAGTGAATCACTTTGTACAAGAAAGATAACTGACCTTACTGACACTGGAACCTTTGTACTAAAACTCAAGATTCTGAACTATATATACCTTTTGAATAATTATACGCCTTTTTGAGATTGCATAAAAAGTTACATGCATCTTAGGTCTTAAACTCAAGAATATGAAATTTATATATCTTTTGAATAATTTTACGTGTTTTTGGGATTTCATAAAAAGTTATGTGCATCATAGTACTTTTATTATCCTATATCTTTTTTCTAATCACATTTTAATGTATCGTTCAAGGTTATGGCACCTAGTAAGGAATGGATGCAACTTGTTGATAATCGACTTGATGAAGCCTACTCAATCGGGGTGCAAAAGTTTTTGGATTATGCTTTTAGAAGAACAAGGGAACTGTATGAAATACGATGTCCATGTGTCAAATGTTGTAACACAACTTTAGGAACACATGAGACAGTTGAGTCACATTTGAAAGTATATGGAATAATTCAAAATTATACTTTTTGGTATCACCATGGTGAAATTTTAGGTGAGCCGCAGTCGGACTGTGAACTGATAGCCCATTGCCGCCATCTACTCGAGAAAGAGCATATGCAAACTGATATTCAATTGCCTCCATCTACTAATCAAGGTATGCAATACATCAAACAACTGAAACAAGTATGATTTTCAAATCTACTGTGTTATTAATTTGCAGAATTGAATTTTAATGCTAAAGTTTTACTAAATGATTTCAAGTATGAAGTTTGGCTACTATATGACCATAAATTTATTTATTTGTATGATATTTTCAGACATTTCTAAAGTATGCAAATGTAGGTTCATGTACTACTGAAAAGGTAAAAAAAGTTCGAGGAAAGAATAAGTGCAAAGAAGTTGCATTGCTTAAATTTGGACAGAAGCTGAAAGTAACATTTTACAACAATCGAACGGTCGGAAAGAATAACAATCTATTTTCGAGGCACTTGGGAAAATTAGTTCGTGACCGTAATTTGTGTCCGTTGGGAGTATCATCGTGGCATGACATTAAGGAAGAACAGTTAAATCACATGTGGGCAGCTATTAAGGTAATGCATCCAATTTGCCAATGGGCTATTTGCTAAAGTCCACTTGGAAAATATGTTTTCATTTATTACTTGGGATTTATACATGTGGCCTTAACTTGCTCTACTAAATCCTGTAGCTCCTAATTAGATCCTTAACCCCTGAAAAGGTTTCTCTTTTCTATTTTCTTTTTGCAAATAGGAGTTCTGCTAGTGATTTTTATTTATTATAAATGAGTGTTAAGAAATATCTGCTATTGATTTACTGTAATTTGGGCTTTGTATAGAAAACAAAAAGATTCTTTTTTGTTAAGTGGCACAAAGCTCTTTTAAAACGGGAAAGGGGAAACAATAAGGAAAAATAAATGCACGGGAAAAGTTACTGGGATTTCTAATGCTGGCAAGAGAAGAGGAGCATGATTGTCGTAGCCAGAAATAAAATAATAGCAAGAGGAGAGAAAGTGTGAGAAAGCACGAGAGAAAATATTAATCGTTATTAATGTTCTATGTTACAATAAGCCCTATTTATATGTATACATATAACACATAACCTACTCCTATTACATAAGGGACTAGGACTAATTACATACATTCACATAACTATTCTAACACTCCCCCTCAAGTTGGTGCATATAAATCATATGTGCCGAGCTTGTTACATATGTAGTTAATACTAGGACCAGTGAGTGACTTGGTAAAAATATCTGCAAGCTGATCATTCGACTTCACAAACTTTGTAGCAATATCTCCCGAGAGTATCTTTTCTCTAAAAAAGTGACAGTCAATCTTAATGTGTTTAGTTCTCTTATGGAACACTGGATTTGACGCAATATAAAAAGCAATTTGATTATCACACACAAGTCTCATCTGACTAATCTCACCAAATTTCAACTATTTGAGCAACTGTTTGATCCAAATTAGCTCACATGTTGCCATAGCCATTGCTCGATATTCTGCTTCTGGACTAGACCGAGCAACCACATTCTGTTTTTTGCTCTTCCAAGACACCAAATTTCCTCCTACTAAGACACAATATCTAGACGTAAAACGTCTATCAAAGGTGATCCTGCCCAATCAGCATCTGAGTATCCAACAATCTGCTCATGGCATTTGATCCTCAAACAATAAGCCTTTGCCNCATAAACTGACTCACAACACTCACAGGAAAGGAAATGTCAGGTCTAGTCACTGTGAGGTAATTTAATTTACCAACCAACCGCCTATATCTTGCAGGATCGCTAAGAGGCTCCCCCTGTCCTGGCAGAAGTTTAGAATTCGGATCCATCGGAGTGTAAACAGGTCTACAACCTGTCATTCCTGTCTCCTCAAGAATATCTAAGGCATACTTCCTTGTGAGATCACAATACCTGAGCTAGATTGAGCGACCTCAATACCCAGAAAATACTTTAATCTACCCAGATCCTTAGTCTGAAAGTGCTGAAAGAGATGTTGCTTCAACTTACTAATACCATCCTAATTATTGCTAGTAATAACAATATCGTCAACATAAACGACCAGATAAATACAGAGATTTGAAGCAGAATGTCGATAAAATACAGAGTGATCAGCTTCACTTCGAGCAACTTCACCAGAGAAAATTAACATCTCTTGATATTTTTGTGTTGGTGTGCACTGCTGGAGAAAATTGTGAAATAGATGTTCCATTGAAAAATGGGATGTGGCAACTTTTGGGTGGAGAAGCTGGTGATTGTCACTCATGGTTAGGTCTAGACTGTGAGGATCTTCTTCATAAAAGTCTATCTCGTATGACTTTTGTTGTAGTACACTCTGAGAATTATAACGAGATTGATCTGCTATTTAGACATTGTAAGCTTTTGCACACCTGGTTATTAAAAGGGATCTTCTCCAAATTTAGGAAGACACTGCACATCAGTGTCACACTTAGAAACTATTACAAGGACATTACCAGTTTGATAGCTTTAGCAAGGATGAGAGGTGGACATATTTAACCTTTAGTTGTTGTTGCAGCTAGTGCAAGGACTGAAGCTGAAACCACAAATATGGTTGATAATGCTAAGACAAATGTAGTTCATGCATTGCAAGTTGCAAGAGATCTAGCTTGGAAGTGGCAGAATATGAATTCCTTTTCTTTTGGACTTGATCACTATCATAAGAACCAGCTTTCACTTGCTTTCATTAAAGCTGAAGTTTTAGGCATTTTTAGTAAATTGTTCTGTGACATGGATGCTGAAGTTATAGGGGAAGATGCTGGTAGTAAAATGTTGAATAACTGTGCTGAACTTACCAAACCAGGCTCGAGGAGACTGCTTTAGACCATAGAGGGACCGGTGCAACCGACATATAAGGCCACTAGACTCCCCCTGAGCAACAAACCAGGTGGTTGCTCCATATAAACCTCATCTTCAAGGTCATCGTGAAGAAAAACATTCTTAATGTCCAACTGATAGAGAGGCCAATGACGAACAACATCCACAGATAGAAAAAGGCGGACTGATGCTATTTTAGTCACGGGAGAGAAAGTATCACTATTGTAAGCACGTGATTTTTGACCCTCCCCGAGAATTTTCACATTTTTAGCGTGAATATGTGAAACTGGGTCTAGTATAGCTATTTTAACTATTTTTACTTTATTTCGTTGCAAAAAGAAAATTTCAAAAAATATATATATAAATTTTAGTTTATGTATTTCTCATAAACTTGAAAAATACAAAAAATTGCACTTTATTTTTGTACCTTATATAATTTCGAAAAAATACAAAAATAATAATTCTATTAAAGTTTTATAGGCATTTTTAACTTTGAAAAAATACAAAAATATTACCTCATATTTTATCTTAATATTTTAAAACGAAAATTACAAAAAAAA